TGGGACGAGAATTCAAAACTTTATTTATAACCTCCGAAAATAATGGTTAGGGATATCAAAGGTACTAAATCAAGTATTTATGTTGAAATTTCTCTACTACTCAGTTCTAATATGTAAAAGCTACTGCATTAAGATCACTAAATTAAGTTGTAATAAGTCGGGATATTGAAACTGTGTGACTCTCTAAAAGTGAAACCTATGACGAAGAACTAAGATTCTGATTGTCTATGAGGCAGGCAAGAGTTGACGCTGCTTTCCATCAATTTATAACAGAGACCCTTCTTACTAATCTCAGTGAGATTTTTATCTTTCCCTTCATACGCTTTGCTTGCAGTATTATTGTCCAAGGCTTAGCAAAAGACTATTCAATTTTTCTCTTTGAAAGCATTCAGACACATAGGGATGAACTCCGGGCCTATAAAAGCTATGCGGTTTCAATTGCATCGCCACTTCACTGGTGGTAATGAACAGTATATTTAAGTTTGACTTCATGAAAACTATTCGTTTTTTTCGTTTAATTGATTCATTGTGATTTACCTAATCAACTTCCCAGATAACTCTTTCCATGTTAAGGTATTTTGTGAATACTATCATGAAATTAGGTTATTGCTTCAAACATAATAATATGAGTGAATGTGAAAAACGGTTACATTATTTCGCATGTTTAACTAATTTTAATCTCAGTCTCCTATTAATAATTTTTGGCTTCCAATATATTCATTTTAAAATGATAAATAGGTGGATGAAGCCACTCATCTGGTTTATGCATGAAATTTTCTATTTTATGAAATGAATCTAAGCAAATAACGAAAGTAATTCGCATTAATTGAAATTTCTATGGAATTTTAGCCACCTACCTCATCTCTCCCTCTATGCGAATTTATATATATATATATATATATATATATATATATATAACTTCTTGTTGGCTGATAATAAACATAAAATATTCTGCTGAAAATCAATCGATACTTCACCTTGATTGTGTCTCATGTTTATCCTCTCAACTTGCAAAAATATTATATGACCCATTATTGCGTTAGAGCCACTCTGGATTTAATAAATTGAATATAAATATTGCTCTACATTTTATATTGATTTATTTTTTAATTGTATTTTTGAAGTTTTCTATGCTGTCTAAATATCTGCCTTATTTGAAGCAACTTTGGCCTTAATTTCATCCAAATACAGAATCAAATATTACTTCCGGTTGTTAATGCTTTATCTCATAGGGGATATGATTATTTTGAGCCTAACAGATCAGCAAACAGATCTATTAAGCGTCCTGTTGTTGAATAATTACTCATAAATTTAGCTGGAAGGCCATTGGCTCTAAGCAATTCACTTCAGTGCTTAATTACGGAACAAGCATTGAGTCACAAAAACTGCCTTAGGAGTGAAGCTTTTTAGAAACTAGACCAACTGAATGGGAATCGGTATTTTGGTGGTTCCTTCTTTGTGTATTTTTCCTCATAGGCAAATTGGAAGAATACTGAACAAATAATAAATCCATTGAACAGTAGAAGCATTCCAGATAGCTGTAGACAAGTTCCGCTTGTCTATGGTAGTGTTCTCTTGGGGGGAGGGGGGGGGGTAACTTGTCAAAAATTAGTTTTGCTACGTCCAAAGTAGAGAGAACACTGATGGTAGAGAGAGTGAAGAGTTCATTGTAAAATACTTTAATAATTGAGTTCAGGTAACACTGCACAAGTTGACTGGGAGGCCTATGCGCACTTGCTTCTATTCAATATGCAATTGGTAGATTATTTAGTGTGCTCAAGTTTCCTTTGTTCGGCGTTGTTTGCATAAATTGCAATCTTAATTAACAATATTTCAAAATAATTAAGTAAATTCCATTCAAATAAAATATTACATTTGCTGCTCTGTGGCGTTCATTCTTTTCATCTTCCCAATTACTAATTAGATTTATCTAATTTTATCGTGATATAGCAACTTAAAAGGATAATAATCTTATTCCTTATCTGAAAATATGATGTGAACGTGTTTATTTGAATAAAAAATCAAAACAGCAAATGTCACGTGACTTATTGCATATTTTGTTTTTTTTCAAATGAATTCTGATTAGCTTAAATGAACCAGTTAAGAGAAAAATATGTTTAAATGGGAAAATCGTTCCCCTTTTTCAATTAATTTAGTATATCAAGCAAATATATCACTAATGTAAAGGACATTCTCAATTGATCTGAGTTAGTGGTAGATTTGCTTCCCCTAACTCCAGACTAACCATATCTTGTGAAAACTATACAGCTAGAAAGAAATTATAACAAGGGACCAAAAAGTTACTAAATAGCAAGTATTTGAGTGACATTTCAATCAGTAAATTGCATAGGAGACACATGCTAATTGTATTGCCCAATATATGTTGTCAAACAAGACACTAGAAGGAGAGTGTAATAAGTGTTTTTAACCGTATTTCATTTTACTTAATTTAATATTTAGAATTATGAACTAGATGAGGTGTGAGATAGACTTACCTCCGCGAGGAACACCCTGGGCAATGTTTGCTCATACAGCAATAAAGTCTATTGATTGGCAATTGACTTCTGACTTCGAACTACCATTTCCCCATTGTTTGTCATATCCGTCCACTTTCACAGTACTCATCTTACCTTTCGTCTACCTTTGCGTCTGCCCTTTTTACTTCTGTGAACCACTCTTCTGTCCCCTATCGTTATTTTAAATTTTTGGTATTCTTCTTCTCTGTGAAGCCCGAAATCAACTAGAGTGTTAATTAAAACCATCATAAAGCCTGTCATTTGAAATAAATAAGTAAATTATGAACTATATGTTGTCAGAAAGGTGCATTAAAAGCTTTTCCATATTAATTTGAACAGAATATGTGCTTACTCTACCAAAATATGAGACAGACAAAGTATTTATTGTGTGGATATGTGGAATAGAGAGCTATCACAATATCTAAGTGGTAAATATTAAACGTGTGCAACATGCAAAGGCCTGTCAAATTCAGCTTGTCGAATATTGGAAAAAGTTGCTTGAGTTCATAAAGACCACGCCCCTGTTTGATTTGCATGTATTGGGTTGGCAACTAAGTCATTGTCGTTTTTGTTGACAGATTCACTCTATACTTTCCTTTGTTTTGTTAACGTGGCCAGAGCATATAACCTATATTTTTTTCTTACTCTATGGACTTCTAGGTTAATTAGTAAAAAATATTTTTTGTTTAGTTCTTTAGTTTTGTTTTTATTCCAATTTAAAAATGAAAGAACAGGACGTGCACTTCCGACACATTTTATTGTATTACTTCCGAAAAGGCAAGAACGCATCGCAAGTACAAAAGAAGTTATGTGCCGTATATGGAGATGAAGCCTTAAAAGAAAGGCAATGTCGAAATTGGTTTGAAAGATTTCGTTCCGGTGATTTTTCACTGAAAAATTCACAACGATCTGGCCGCCCAGTCGAAGTGGATGAAACCCATATCAAGGCCATTATCGATTCAAATCGTCACAGCACAACACGAGATATTGCAGAAAAGCTCAATGTGTCGCATACATGCATTGAAAAAAATTAAAACCCCTTGGTTATGTCAAGAAACTTGATTTATGGATCCCTCAGCAGTTAAAGTAAATTCATTTGACGCAACGGATTAGCATCTGTGATTCGCCGCTACTGAAACGCAATGAGAATGATCCATTTCTGAAGAACCTAGTTACTTACTGGCGACGAAAAGTGGATAGTTTATAACAATGTTACTCGCAAGAGATCATGGGTGAAGCAAGATCAACCAGCCCAAACAGTATCAAAAGCAGAGATTCACCAAAAAAGACTATGCTGTCAGTCTGGTGGGGGGATCACAAAGGAATTTTGTATTTTGAACTCATGCCGCAGAACCAAACGATAAATTCAAATGTGTATGTTGAAGAACTCGAAAAACTGAAGGATGCAATTAAAGATAAGCGGCCGGCATTATCAAATTGGAAGGGTGTTGTTTTCCATCATGATAACGCAAGGCCCCACACATCTTTGGTTACTCGGCAAAAATTATTGCAACTGGGTTGGGATGTTTTGCCACACCCACCATATAGCCCTGACCTTGCTTTTTCGGATTACCATTTGTTTCGTTCCATACAAAACTCTTTAAATGGTAAAATTTGTAACAACGCGGATGATGTCGGATCACACCTAATTCAGTTTTTTAATAGCAAAGACCAGGCATTTGACGAACGGGGAATTTTTACTCTGCCAGAACGATGGAAAAAGGTCATCAACAAGAACGGCCAATATCTAATTGAATAAAGTTATATTTTTAAACAAAAATTCCGAATTTGCCTTCTTATTTGAAATCGGCAATGACTTAGTTGCCAACCTAATATCAAGTAAAATTGGAGTGAATATATTTTCAATGAATTGGCATTTAAGTAGAGTTATAATGCTATCAACATTTGGCATAGTCTTAAAGAAATTATGCACATAACAAAATTGATTCTTCATTCTACACCATCTGAGAAATTAATCAATTCTTAATTTATTAAAATTTAGCTTAATCTATTATGTCAATTTTCAGTCGGTTGCGTTATCAACGAGGATTTGCAGTAATTCAGTTGTCTGATTCCAAATCATCTGCAATATCTTTTCCTTAAATTCACTCAGGTCATAGCCTTCCAATAAAATGTTAAAAAAATCTACAGAAAGATAACTCTTAGAAGTTTTTTTAACTTACCAAAAGGAGTGTTGAAATTGTATATCTCTTCAACGACCAAAGTACGTCTATTTATTTTTTGAGCATTTTTCCTTTGATGAAGCAATTGAAAGCATCAACTATTCTGTTGATAATATTGAGTTGAGTCTATAATAAAGTGCTTGAGTTTCAGCCTTTATTCACCCTGGTGAAGAGATAGTTTAGAAAGATGAATCCCACCTGATGTTGATTAGTGACACATTAGAGCAGATTTCAGATTTTATCCCACAAATATCCTCAAGATGATTCCAAGTACACCCCAAAATTGTTGACGTTTGGAAAGATGACGGGCTTATTGAATGATGGCGATATGGAACTTCTGAAAAGTGTTCATGCAACAAATATCCACTCTATACAGAGGTTAGTATTCGCAGATATGAAACTAGAAAATATGGGTGCCGATGTAACTCAAGGTAGCAAGATGGCCTCCATAGAAGGTGCCAAGTTAAAATTAACTTCGGTCATTAATGTACCTGATTTACTGGATATTTCGTCAAATTCAAGCACGGATAATACTTCCTCCGCTGATGAGAATTACAAAATCGTTCCTAATGCGATAGAAACCTTCTATCACAATACAATTCGCCTCTTCATTATTCGATTTTCTATATCTTGTTTCCAAAGCACAATTCTCTCTTTGGACGGAATTTATTAAAATATTTTTTTATTATTTACAAAGCGAACTTATTTAGTTAACTCTAAGATATTTTAAACCGATAAAATATATATTACTTAAGTTTTGTAAAATTGTATTTATTACTATCTTTGTTCTTATTGTAGGCTACTTTTCACCATAATTTATCTTTTAAGAGTAACTTGGAATAAATATATAATTTTCACGGCATTCCGAATCACCTTTTCACTCCTGTTTTATCCACATTTCATGCATTTTGAAAATAACTCAACGTACACTTGTTAATGCGTTATCGATTTGAAAGAAGGAAAAAGTATGATTTCTACTCGAAGAAGGATCAGCCATAGAGGTCATTTTTGCACCCTCTATCTTTATTGACTCGGGGTGCTCAATAGACTTACCTCCACGCGGTGCACTCATGCAACAAAAAATTCTATTAATCGCCAGTTGACTATTGACTTTAAACTACTATGACTCAACTGTATGTCATATTCGTACCCTTCCACAGTACTCATCTTGCCTTTTTCTATACCTTTGTGTTTGTCTATTTCTTTTACATCTGTGAATCATTATTCTGTCTCCCCCCCCCCTCTCGACTTTTTGTCACTTTGATGTTCCTCCTCTTCTCTGTGAAGCCCTGAATTCAGCTAAAGGGAAAACGATAACTATCAAAACGCCTGCCATTTGTAATAAATGAACAAATCTTTATTGACTCTATGGAAAGGAATTAAATGAGCTTATTTCGGTGTTTTGAATTGAAGCTTTATTTGCAAGTCAACCATTGTCGGAAATTTTTGGAAGCAGTATCCAGGTGAAATTATTGCTCGTCTTTAGGTAAAAGCATGTCATAAAATATGCTTTGCAAAGTTATTTCAATTTTATCAAGAAAGGCGTCCAACTAAAACCGGGAAAGTTCATTTTGTTGGAACCTAGAGGTAATATGCTAATTTGTTCAAATAAAGACTACTCTCGTTGTGTACTATAGTGAAGCACTTTCACTCATGCACACAAAAGGCATCATTTTTAATTTTTTTTCTAGGTCAACCTTTACCGTTAACCATAAAATATGCTGTTGCCTTCGCATCAAGAGTTTTTACAGTTTTACAACTTAATGTAACAAGCCCTTTCTTATTTTTACTTTATTTATATGGCAGAAATGTGTAAAAAGTTCAAAATTATGAAGAAGGATCGTGAGGTGTGATAGAAAATTTAAGTTGGGGAATTTGACCGATTTGCTTTCCTTGTCTGTCAACTAAGCAGTCATTGAAAGATAGATCTTATCAAGCAAGGTAGCCCGGTGTTTTCAATCGACTTGAGTATTTGTAGATTTGAAATTTTAGTACCACTGTCTTAGTGATGTTACCTACTGGAGTTGACTAGTTAAAAATTAGTTTACTAAGATAAGATTAAAATTAGTTAAGGTTTTGTTCTCTCCAAAAAATGCTAACGTGAGGGTGCAGAGATCTCTCACCAAACCAGCAATCAATAGGGCCTTCATCGTAGAGTAGCCCCAGTTGTGCTGCAATAGCTCAACTTTCGTGTCAGCTATGACAGACACTCTTCACGCTCTATATTCAATACGTTGTGGTGTACGATAGACTTACCTCCACGTGGTGCGCCCTGGGCAACGTAAACTCATACAGCTAAAAAAAGATCTATCAAACCGGCAGTTGACTTCTCACTTCAAACTACCACGGCCCCACTGTATGTCAAATCCAACCACTTCCGCAATACTCATCCTACCTTCTTCTACCTTTGAGTCTGCCTCTTTTACTTCTGTGAACCACCCTTCTGTTCCCCCTATCGACTTTTCCCATTTTGATGTCCCTCCCTTCTGTGAAGCCCGATGTCAGCTAAAGGGCTAATGATAACTATCAAAACGCC